AAAGTAAAGAAAAAAATTCCACCAAAACTTCAACCCCAATCGCATAAATCTCACCCGAATTCCGATAAAATATAAAAAACAAAAGACAAACACATAAACAAAGAATTAAATAGTCTAAAAAACAAAAGACAAACACATAAACAAAGAATTAAATAGTCAAATATTCAATTATTGATAGGTAAAACTACCTTTTTAATATCACCATTTGTAACATGACTGTTATTGATGGCAGCTTGGGGTAGACCTTCTTTGGATGACCTGAAAATAACTAACGAATGTGATGCAAACTCCGAGACTTGGATGAACATTTGAAGATGATGTACATAAACCTTGGTTTTTTACCACCAACAAATTCTCTCAAATTCAAAATAATTTATACGTTGTAATCCAACATTGTTTGTGAATAAAGTAATAAAAATAAAACACTGATTTTCAACAGGAGCAATGACTCAAAAACATGAACTCAAAAACCCAAAAAATCAAGTCACATTTCGTTGCTTGTTGAAAGAAAAGAAAATAATAAAGCATTGGGGAAAAAGTCTACACTCAGTTAACTGCAGTTAACCACTAATTGCCTTAATCGAATTGAAATATAATATCAAAATAACCAAACCACTATTTAAAAAAGAGAGTCATATCATTGAACTAACAGAAAAACCTCATAACAGAGAACGGAAGAAAAGCACGGAATATTGAATAAACAATATTACCCCAACAAATATCACCACCATCAAAGAAGAAATCATAAAAGAAACTCAACCACACAAACATGCATTCATTAGTTGTAATAGAGAGAAATAAATAGACATATGCAAATAGGCACCCAAGATCCCACTGGACAAAACATTTGGCTTGGCAACTCAATGAACAGTTAGTGTGCAGGGCTTTCGAGTGGGGTTACGACAGTGGAGAATGTTTTTGTGTGTGAGAAAGAGAGAAAGGGGGAGATACAAATTAATATTGAGGGAGAGGAGATGCATGAGATACCTAAAATAGGCGCTAGAACTGGTGGTGGCTGAGCCGCCGCTGTTGCCTGTTGTTGGCAGCGGTTGTTGATGACGACGAATGAGAGAGGAAAACGGTGGCTATTGAAGGTGTGGCCATTAGAGTAACTCAGACACGGCATGAGAGAAAGATTTCCTCGAGAGGGGATATCGTTGGTTTGGAGAGGGGATGTCGGGTAAAGATTTCCTCGAGAGGAGATTTGTGCTTGATTGAGGGCGCTCGGATTCAAAAATTAAAATTTCTAAAAAAAATACGACATGAAATAGGCGATTAAACAAAATTATGGCAAGAAGACATATTAGGGAAATAATTGGGGGAATTTAATTTAGGGATGTTAATTTTGGAAACTAAAAAATTTTTAGCGAAAAAAATATTTTAAAAGCTAATATGGTACATTGGATCAAAATGATCTGAGACGTCAATAGCTCAAGATAGTTTAGAATAACTTCGATTGTTGGATGATGTCTTTTTTGGTCACAAAATGATCTGGACCACTCTTTGTTTCTAAAATTCAAAATCGTTCTATTTTATTATATAGATATATGTGTGTATGTGTATATATATACATGTGTGTGTGTATATATACGTGTGTGTATGTATATATATATATATGAAATTTCAAAATTTAAATGATACATAAATATTAAAAGAAATTTTGAAAGTCTCACATTCTAATCTTAAAAATCTTACATTTAATTTGGTATGCACTATTTATGGTAAGGGTAAAAAGGCTTTTATGACTTTTTCTTAGCAGATGTACTTTTATCCCAATTATTTAAAAATATATATTTTTATCCTATTAATTTTTTAATAAGATATCGTTCTTCCTAAGCCCCGAAAATAAATTGTAAATTGGGCCAAACATCCTGAAGATTGAAAAAAAAAATTGGCTTGGTTTTTGAATTTTGGGGAGGTAGATTGGGTCAGGGGGTTCTAAAATGCCAAAAAAATAAAAAATAGCAAAAAAGATACCAACTTAGTTTGTTCAAGCAAAGCACTAACTTCGATCTGCCTTTAGTGGTCTGTCCAATGAAAGAAAGCCTTAGCCGGATCATGTCTTAGTTTTGTTCACGTCCAATCTAATCCAATCCCGATTATGTTTTTAACGTTGGAACTTCAAACCAATGATATTAAGGTGTAACAATTTGTACAATTCTAATTAAATCAACTGCTAACCTGAAATTCTAATATGAATGAAGAAGAAATAAACAAGGCCTTTAATGGGAGACAAAAAAAGTCACACAATGAATAAAGAGGAATGCTTTAATGGTTAATGCCTTTTCCACTTTGCTGTGCACGATTAGAGTCTCACAAAGCTCCCTCCCCGGTATGGATAGTGACAAAACAAAAAAACAAAATCACACACAATTCAGACGATTCCCTCAAATGGGCTCATTACCTTCGGGGCCAAGTCGTTACAGACTTAAAGGTGAATGAACATAAATGCCCAATCGTCGTATTCAACATTAAGAGTATCAAGATCACCGGCAAATTAATGTTGAACTGTACTGAGAAGATTAATTAGAGTAAAATATATATATACTAGTAATTGTCCGTGTCTAAAAATACTATGTAACTTGTTAAAAAATTATAAATATTTGTCCATGCACAAATGTAATGTATAACTCATTTACGACAATCAACAAAATATATAACCCACTAATATTTTTAAAATTTTTTGACAAAATATCTTTAAAAAATAGGGTATTTGAATAATATTCACTTGTATACAAAACATATATAATCAAATTTTATTGAAAGAAAATCACACTGCAATCATGCATGAATCAACATCTACAGAGAAAAAAACATCTATTTATATATATATAAAATAAGTAGGCAAAAGCGAGAGAGATTGTCGTTGTGTGTGGGGGGGGGGGGTTTGGCGAGAGCGTCTGTCGTGGGGAGAGAGAGAGGGGGCAGGAGACAGATTGACTTTTTTGGGATTTTATGTAGTGGGTTTTAATTTTTGGGCGGGATTTAATATTTGGGTAGTATTAAATTAGATGAATTTTGATGACATCTAAACCGTTTATTTAAATTTCAATTAAATTTTAGTTGTTCTTCTCTTCTTTTTTTTTAAATTGAGAATATTAATTTTAATTTTAAAAATTTGAAATTGCCTCTATATTGTTATTGTAGATAGATATATATAGATATACAACTGTCTAAATCAAACTTTCTAATAGTTTAAATGAAAAAAATGAGAGATAAAAAGAATGTAGTTGTCTTTTAAAAATTTGAAATTGTCTCTATATTGTTAGTGTAGATAGATATATATGGATATACAACTGTCTAAGTCAAACTCTCCAATAGTTTAAATGAGAATGATGAGACATAAAAGAAATGTAGTAGAGTCTTAGTCAATCTCTCCAATATTTTGAATGGAGATGAGGAGAGATAAAATGAATGTTGTTGAGTATTGTTGGAATATATATTAATTTGGATCGTGAGATCAATAATAATAAATTGATTTGAACCGTTTTTTATGTTGAGATTACGTTATCCGTTGGATGTATTTATATTTTGTCTTAAAACGATCTAGACTTCTCTTTATCTTTTGGATTCAAACTTCGTTCTACTTTATTATATAGATATATATACATATATCATTCAAACTATGATCTTTATATCGATTAAGTTCTTGAATTTTTATTTTTTTTGTATCAATTGAGTCACTAAACTATCTAATTGAGTGAATTGAGCTCCTCGACTAAGTTGGGATAAAGTAGACATATGGTCCTCAAACTATAACCCTTGTATTAATTAAGTCTTTAAACTTTTTTTATGTCAATTGAGTCTCTAAACTTTCTAATTATATAAATTGAGCTTTTTTGTCTTTTTGTATTATATGGTCACATGAGTTACACTCTAACAGAGGCAGACAAAAGAGTTTAATTGATATAATTAAAAAATTCAAAGACACAATTGATACAAAAAAAAATAAAAAATAAAAAACTTAATTGATACGATGGTCTTAGTTTTAGAACTATTTATTTAATTTACTCGATTAATTACTATTTTTTAGGAACCTTTTTGGATCACTCAAGTTCATTTTTGAAAAAAAAAACAACTACGAAAAAGTCTACTCTATCTTGATATATATTAAAAAAAGGCTCAGTTCAATGTGATCAACTCGAACAAACTCATCAAGAATCAAGGGGCAACATCAGAAGGAGTATGCAAGGTCATCAAATAGTCTCCTCTACTACCTTGGAATAAGGGTCATCAAAAAACCTCTTTTACCACCTTGGAGTAAGGGTTGTTCAAGAGCCTCTTCCTCGCCACCTTAGAATAAAGGAACATCCAGGAGCCTCACCCTCACAGCCTAGAGAAAATCAACCTCCCTCGTCCTTGACCAAGTCTTTTGGAGAGCACCATAACTTCCTTGCCAGTTGAGGAGAGGAGAGGAAAGGTCGCCAAGATATTTAATTACTATTAAATGCCCCTAATCCATTATGACCGCTAGACTAGCTATTTAATTACTACATTAAACCACTATAAATTGTACATCTATCTTCTCATTTTAAAACTTGTAATCTTATACTCTCCTTTCACACCAGAGATAATAAAATTTCGACGACCCTTGTCATTCAAAGTGGACATAGGTTATATTGACCGAACCACTATAAACCTTGTCTTTTATCTCCCTCTACTTTACTGCATTTTATATTACTTAATTGACAGGTGATGTGCAAATCAATTTTGTGCATCATCAATATGTAATACTAAAAATTAAATATTGATTCTATAATATTTATATTTTAAATAAAATTTTGATTTTTTTTAATTATATAATTTAAAATTAAAATAAAAAAAGAAAAAAAAATATATGTAAATTAATGAAATTATATGATATTGATAAGTGTGTTAATTAAATTATTTAACATTAGAGGTCGTGTAGAAAAAATGAATTTTTTTAGTGAAAAAATTTTTGTGATAAGTTTTATATTTATAGCATTGAATCAAAGTAGACGAAGAGTTAATTAATCTTAACCGTTATTATAATTTTATTAGTTGCGAATTCAACTTTAAAATTGATATATTAGATAGTTACAAGCCTAACCCACCACTTACTTTGAAAAAAAAAAAAAAGAGACTAACCCACGACAATATTTTGGTGGTATTATATGTTGACCCAAAAGTTACACAAATTGAAAATTGACCCACCCATTGATACAGGTCATATTTTCCGAATTAAATATCTACCGCCGCCATCCCCAGCCACCAATTATTTCCGATGAACCCACCAAACACGTCATATCTCACTCCCCACTTTCCCAAACTACCCCTCACAAACGATCAAAACCCTTTTAAACCACCTCAAACCATTCAACCATCGCCGGAAAGTAGAAAATTCACCGGCCGACGGCGTTCAAAAACTAGCCATCTTCAACGACGTTACTGTAACCTTAGCTCCTATCGGCGATGAACCAACCTCGATCGCGAACGAATCGTAACGGAGAAACAATTCCACCAACAACAACCTCGAAGCGAAGACCACGAAGTCCTTTCCGACACACTGTTTGTTATTAATGGACGGCTGTTCCGTCTCCGGTCCGTTAGACCACAGTACGTGCTTCAACAATCTCTCTCCTTCCTCACCCACAAACCGATCCGCCACAAACTCTTCGGAGCGGTCAAATATTTTCGGATCCTTCGTTGCAAATGGTTGGTACCCGAATAACATCTGACCTTCTTTGACCTTGAAAGCTGCGTCGTGAGACTCAATGATAAGGTCGCGTTTGGCTCTGCCGTACTGTGATGCTACCGGCGGTTCGATTCTTAGTGATTCGTATACGACGGATTTCATCAATGGCATTTTTTCCATCGCGGCCATGGTGACTTTACCGCCGTTGGATCTGATGGCAGATCGGATTTCTTGGGCTAGTTGGGTATGAAGTTTGACTCCGGCACGGCCGATCCACTTGAGCATGTTGGGGAATAAGAACTTCATGCCGCCGAAGGAATTAAAGCATGTGGCGAACAAGAGGTTGTGACAGGCCTCGTCACGTGACACGCCGACTCTCTCAGCTTCGTCGAGGGCAAAGGTCGACGATTCGTAGAAAAAGTCGTACAGGCGCTGGTAGTCTTTTTTGACGAGGAATGGCGGCAGAGGAAAAGTGTGGATCAAAAGGTCTTCAAGAAGCTTTGGGAGGCCAAGAATGAGCAAAGGACTCAGCTGGAGCAATACCCATTTTCCGATCAGTTTGGGTCCGTCAAGTCCGAGCTTGGTCTCCGACGGGTTGGTTCCGTACAAAGAGCGAGCCAAAAAGTTGAACGCGGCTTGGTCGTTGGCTTCACCGAAACTGGCTTTTCCTTTTGTGGCGAGTTCGTTCTCTAGGTACTCGAACAACTCGGTATAGCTGGTGTGAAACTCGGGAATGACTCTGTCTCGGCTAGATTTCAGTAAGAAGAACATGATTTGCTTAAGCTTAGCATGACTCGGCTCGGACGGGTCTAGATAGGAGAGAACTCGGTAGCCGCCGGTAAGTTCGGTGGAGGGCATGTAAGTGCCAGTGAAAAGGTCTTTCTTTTCAACTTTCGAGACGTCGAAGAGGGTCGGAAAGCTCTTGCCGTCAAGCAAAACGACGACGTTTGGGTTTTTGGAAATGAAGGGACCGGGAGGCATATTGGCTTTGAAGATCGTAGATTGGTATTTTTGGATCCTGGACTTGAAGTACTCGTCTCTTCCTTGATTGTAAAAGTAATCGAGACGATCTTTCCATGGACTTATCAGAGGAAGGCCATAATCTCCTGGGATTTTACGGATCGGAAGATTTGTGGGTGGTTGGACTGGTTGTGCCGCCGGAGCAGGTGGTGGAACAGGTGGTTTTTCAGACACCGAGGCAGTGATTGGACGGAAATTGAGTCGACGATTGAAGGACTTTGCTGTGGAATTTGATGGTCGTTGTGATGGGAATTGTACTTGAAGAGAAGGGAAAGCTAGAGAAGAAGTAGCCATTTCTGTGCACAGGCTTTGAATATTATTATGAGTTTGCGCGAGAGATAGTGAGTGAGAGAGAGAGAGAGAAAGAAAAGGGCAGTGATGCCGGAGTTTGAAGACTTCCAGTCTGTTTATATAGCGGGGTATAGAGAATTAATGTCACCATGGTACAGATAAGCGGGAGTGGTGGTCCATATTACTTGAATTTGGATATATGTATATAATTGTATGATTATACGAGAATTACGGATATTTTGTTAAGGTTGACGTATCTATATCATATACGATATTTATTAGATAATCGAGAATATATATCAAATACATCTTTTACGTATTTGATAATAATTAAATATTATGATATTTTACGAATATTTTTGTAATCGAGCAACATATATAATTTTTTAGTTAAACTTTTAATATTTCTTTTCGAATTCACGTATCATATAATTCATTAACAAAAAAATTATATTACATTAAAGGCACATACGTGTTTTTTTTTCTCTTAAATAGTTGATTAATTAAGTTTATCCTCTTACAAATTAAAAGGTCTTAAATTTGGTATTTATTACGCACTTTAAAGGTCACCAACTCTTGTTACTTAATTGTATGGGATATGTATGAATTTTTCTTCTTTTTGTTTTGATAAAATAAAAATTTAAGAGTTTCAAGGAAGTCGTGAAATGTGTGCACAATTTGAATGTTTACGCAAATCCCACTTTCCTGATGTTTTCCTTAATCCAGTGCACCATTTGAATGGTACCCAAATCCCACTTTCCTGATGTTTTCCTTAATCCATTTTTTTATTAGGGTAATTCTCTCACATTTTTTAATCTTTTGATATTTTATTGTCTATGCACGTGTTGTTTGTAATTTAGCATTTAGTCTCTATCTTTTTTTAAAAAAAAAATATTCGTAATAGCAGTGACACCGCATCAATCAATTACCGTTGTCGCGTACTGTAACTTTCTACTAAAAAACTCATAAATAAATAGGTGAATCCCAAAAAAACTTAATAATTATTTTTATTTATTATTTGTGATATCACATATAGTCTTAATCAAGTTAAAAAAAAGGTAATGTTAAATAACTTATAAGTAGTGTAAAATATGAAATTTATATTACAAATTAATGAAAATTGGTGTAGCATAATAATTACATAAGATTTAGGATGTCGTATAAATGAGATATGACTAACTTCTTTGGTTATATTGACCTCTTTAACACGCGATTGATTGATGTATATCACCAACCAAAAAAAAAAAATGTTAATAATAGACGACGAGGCAGGCATTATGTTTTCTAATTAAGTGGCCAAGAAGTTGGTTGACCAGGATTGCAGGAGGAATTGTACACGATTGACTGACGTGAGTTCCTTTTGTGAGCATCAATTAAAAAAAATTGTAAGATGAATAAAAAGAGGTCTGTTTTTTATTATAGAGATAATTATGTATTACATAATTGGGTAATTATGAATTTATATGAGACCCTATTGCAAACGTATTTAATTATTAATGAACAGTTACATCACGTGATACTACTGACATTTACTTGAGAGAAAATCTTAACAGTTACTTCCAACCACAAACGAAACAAAATTTGTTCCTTTTTTTCGTAGAGATTTACCCATCACATAAACGCACAGACCCACCAAATCAAAAATCTTCCCTAGAAGACTGAATCGAGCAAGCTCAACACTCTTTTGATCTGCCTTCTATTTCACATTCATAATTGGTGCATCAAAGAAGGCCTTAATGGATACCAATATATCCAATATTATAGTACCAATGACAATAACATAACTAGTCTTGTATTTATGTACCGTAACAGTTACACGTAATATTTTTTTACATTGACCCTTAAAAATATAAAAGGGCACGTGGATTGTTGGAAATTTTACACCAACTCACCCGACTCTAGCATTAAAGGTGGATCCATAAGTTGGGGTTTAGGGTTGGATGAATTCAGATTCACTTTAAGTTATTAGCTTGAAATTGTATTTGTGAGAGAAATTAAGTCAAATGAATTTAGGTTTGGATTGTGATCGTGTGTACCTACATGACCATGTCTTTTAAAAAGAAAAATGAGTAGGTGAGAAAGTGAAGCTAAATGATTTTGTCTAGTTATTGCTCCATTTTTTTTCTTTTGATTTCATAGTTAAGGATGATCGAATTAACTTAAGTGCACCTCAACTAATTCACTTTTCAAGCCTGTTAAAAGCAAATCATCCGCATCAAGACTAAAATTGACTCTAAAAAATTGTTAAAATTTAAATTTACAGACATCTAATTTTATGATTTGTTCCTATTCTTACTTAAACTAATCCTTATAATTATAACGGCTCCATCTTTGTCGTCAATAATAATAGTGGATCAGCGTAAGGGTAGGTTTTATTTTCAACCTTTTCATTCCTCGGAAATGTTGTCCATGGACCCGAAAGCCCTTGACATGTTCAATATTTTACCAAATTAGTGTTTCGTGACAACAACATTGGACGGAGTCGGAACAAACTTGCACATTTGACTTTTCACCTCAAACATTGGACGGAGCTGAACAAAATTTATGTCCTCATCTTACATAGATTTGAAAGTCAAAATCTATGGGGTCACATATTTGGATTTGACCACGGCCAGTACTGTTTTGGCTGCCATTCCAATTCTCACTACCGCCCAACGTGTAATAATAATTGACCGATATATCAACTTTTTTTTGGATACTTAAAAAAAGTGTAAAGATAAGAAAGAGCGACCGATATATCAACTTATTAAACAAGTTAAGTATCTTAATCGAATATGATTCCTTTATTATATGAGTTATGCGGGTTTATTTGTGTATAATGAAGGAGTCATGATATGATCCAAGGAGGCTTTTTTGAAATTATACATTGTACTCTTAAATTATGTCTCAATCACATCTGTATATTACTCAAATTTTTAGAATTATAATTTATTTATTAAATTACAATCTTGATTTTATTTTATCCTCTTAACAATTGATTATACCATGTTGAACCATTAATTATTAAAATTGTAATATTTTTGTAAGAATTTGTAAATTATTAATGATGCAATTGTTTTAAATTTTACATCTAATAATTCAACTAGTTTCGATTAATTCCATTTATTTTATTGAAAAAAATAATTAAACTATACATGTGAGATTAATTCTTATATAATCTATATATTATAAACATAATAATATTAACGATCTAATTGAATGATTCACACCAATAGGCCTTTGGTCTAATAGTACTCCTTATCTTGTAAAAATTTTATTTTCTTGAGGTCAAGGGTTCAAGTCCATTTCTCATCTCCCTCTCCCTCCCCTTCCAAAATTTTTTTTTAAATGATCCATATTGAATAAAAATGTCTCTTTATACCACTATGACTTCGGTTTCGCCCCATCTTTGTACTACTCAAACCCATTAAGATTGGTAACCAAACTCGTTAATCTTGTATTGAATAATCGGATGGTTGTAAATTTTAATGTATGGCTAATGGCGGGACTCTAGGTGGCTCTACAGCCCCCAGGTTGACACGTGGAATAATGAAGCCGTTGGGATATCCAAAGGGTGCCGAAGAGGTAAGCCGAGGTATGATGACACGGAGCAGCCGAGTACGACAGCTGACATCATATTTAATACGATGTGACCCCTCATTTATGACGGAATGAGTGATAGTAACAAAGCAAATAAATATGTGTCTGCCAGCATCTGCCCTCTGAGAGTCTAAGTCTACTGTCATGATGGTTAAGCATTAATGGCTGATGCGCTGAGACGATGCGATCGGCTCTCTCGAGAAATTGTTCCCCCCGAGTATTCAATGCTCAGTTGATGTCGGATGCCGATCTGGGGGATTTGGATACTCGGAGAGTGGCATAAATGCTCGGCATATGGCTGAGCATTTACCCCATTTTCCTAGCATTCAATAGGAGGAGATGTGAGTAGAAAACACTCATTGCACGAGGAATGATGTGTCAGATGTAAGATGTCCAGATGGGACTGGAGATCTTTGACAATCATTGCTAATTCAGGTATAAATACTCCTCAGAAAAATGGACAAAGGTACAAAAACTTGAACCAGAAAATAGCCTATTAAGCAAAACCCTTCGACCTTATACTAACTTAAACTTCGGAGTGGATGTACGTCTGACCCTGTTGTTTTAAGTTCGCCAGCTTAGAGATCACTGTCTCATACTATTATAGGAATTATCCCGTGTAATTTGGCGTTGTCTGTGGAAACGAAGACATTTTTTTCAATAGCGATCGTCTAATGGTAAACACTCGATCTCAGGGTAAGGGAGCAGGTGTACGGGCCAGGAATGCAGAGCCCGTCCAGCTTCCAATGGTTCTGGAGCTAGGTTCTTTGGGCCAATCAAATGGGGTGGGGCATTCTTCACAAAGAACGCTCCCTATGGATCAGGGACTTGGGGGACGTGACCTCATGGCCCATGACATCGTTGAGATGGTGGAAAATCGGATGGGTAAACGTATTAAGCAGCTCGAAAGGGAAAACACCAAAGTCCAGCAACGTCTTGGCAATTTCGAGCAATCAGCGAGCGTGGGTGAGCATAGTCGCTGGTTCGGGGACCAGGTGCATAGTCAGAACCTGTCCAAACCCCCTGGCATTGGCCCTCCAGGAAAGATTGGATTAAGCACTCGTCCGAGGGACGTAACCGCCAAGTAGGGTTCTCAGCCTCCAAGGGAAAGTCAAAATCGGGCCAGAAGACAAACCTGTCTAGGTGGGACCTACGTCGAGGGATACCCGAGGGCGTTAGAGTCGCCGAATCACAAGCGGAGTCTATACCCTAAAGGCCTCGAGGAGAGAGATCAAAAAAGGATCCTAGGGTCCCCTTCATCGCTCAGCGCAACCATGAGCCCGAGGTCTACGCCGACGAAGTTATCTCACCGTTTATCTGGGCCATCAGGAAGGCCGAGATGCCGAAGAAGTTTACTGTCCCACGATTCAAAGTCTATGATGGAAAAACCGATCCCGAGAGCCACCTTTGGTAATACAGACAATTGATGTCAATCTATGATACTGACCAAATGGTGTTGTGTCTAGTTTTTCCCATTAGCCTAGGGAACACGGGCATGAGGTGGTATGAGAACCTTGATCCTGAGTGTGTTAAGTTCTAGAAACAATTGACG